CGTGTGCACGGAATAGGACAGGGGGCATTTCCTCTCTGTAAAATGTGGAATTGGGAGGCCCAAAGAGGTCTGGAGACTACACTGTCAGCTTTTTCTGGCAGAGATGGGACACTCTAGCCGTCTGACTCCAAAACTGTGTCTCTTCGTCATAGCTGTCCTTTTTGTTTCAACCAGTTAATTCTGGTTCAGAAAACACTCCATTCACCGCCCATGCCAATCAGGATGGTCGCAAGGAGGGTAGATCCAAGGTATTTGCGCGAAGAGAGCCTCTGACTAATAAATCAGTAGCAGCACGTGGTGGGCAACCCCAGCAACCGTCCCGGGGGGGATGTGGTCTTGGCAAAGAGCCTCCACAGGCTTCTGAGTTTACAGGCAAGATTGGGTTGCTGACACAGCTTCACAATAAAGAGCAGTTGGACCCGCGTCACATCTCTCTCCAGGAAGATCCCTCTCTACGGCCAGGGTGTCACTTTCCTAAACGACAGCCTGCAGACCCAGCTTTCAGAGCCTGGACCAAAGCTGCCACGGCAAATGACCAGCAGAAGGGCCTGTGCCAGCCTCAAGGCCGAGGTCTCCCATTCAAAGCCAAACTCAGTCCACCGGATTCTCTGTGATGTGACGGGTGCCTTCCTCTGTGACCCACACCAGCTCACCCTTCCTCCGAGCACTGAACGCGCGTATTCACTGCTCAGAGCGCGAGACCTGCTCGGGGCGTGGGGGCTTTGTGGGGAAGGCCCTGCTGAGCTGTCGGGGAACCGGGACGCCCTTCCCTTGTGCCCCCAGGTACGCGGAGCCGCCTCCTAGCGCCTTGGCTGTCACGGGAGAGCTGCTGGAAGCCAGGAATCTTCTTCCCGGGAGCACAGGTCCTACTGATGAGATAATGATGCAGTCTGATGCAGTCACAACCACATTCCCTTCTTCACTGGATAGCAAAATGTTCCACGTGGTTCTAGAACTTTTTCCTTCTTCCAGGAATAACTGAGGGGCGTCACTGGAAAGCAGGACGCAAGAGCCACATCTGCAGGAGGGATGAACAGGTGGGATCATCTCCGGACGACAGTGTTTCGCCCAACAAGTAGGCAATGCAGCCTGTCGTGTGTGCGGGGCGGGGGTGGGGGGTGTGGGTGAGGTCACATTGTAAGACCTGCTTGCTCGTCTGGCCTCCTGCCCATCCCCCTCGTCTCTGAACCTCTTCCTTCACGTCACAGATGCCCCAGAATCAAGGTGGCTTTTGAAAGCTGACATTATGGGTGATTTTCTACATCTCTCGGTCATAACAAACAGGCATCTCCTTCGTTTTCCTTTTCATTTCAGAAGAGAAAGTGGGAACACAAATGTGGCCATTAGCCACGCCACTGAAATCCCAACACCACAATTTCCATTCTGAGTAACAGGAGACAACTTCCGCTCGAAGCAGAAGGATCCAAAAAGGTTCTTCATTGTTGAAATGGGTCACTGATGGGATTTTCTGATTCTGAACAGAACCACAAAAGTTCCTAACCAGGTAATAATCCTCCTGCATGAAAGCAGAGGTCTAGGCGTGGCTGGGTGGTTCAGTTTGTTGAGCACCTGACTCTTGGTTTCGGCTCAGGTCATGAAACCGGGGTCATGAGTTCCAGCCCTGCGTGGGGCTCCGTGCTGAGAGCACAGAGCTTGCTTGGGATTCTGTCTTCCTCCCTGTCCCCCCCCTGCTCGTTCCCTCTCTCCCACTCTCCCTCCCCCCAACTCTCAAGATAAATAAATACACCTTAAAAAAACAACAAAAAGATAATAATAGAGTAATAAGAAAACTGAATGGTTCTCTTAGCAGACGGGAATTGCTTTTAGGCGCAGCCCCCCCTCCCCTTGTCGAGAAGACACTTCGATAAGGCAGATTAGAGCAAAAGTCTCTGGGCCTGAATGTGGCTGAGACGTTCCTGCTGGACCCCAGGTGGGCACGTGTGGGCAGCCCTGGGAGGCAAGAGAACAAGGAAAAGGGAATTTGGGCTGGGCCAGGTGGACGGAAAGCTCTGAGGCCACCTCGCTCCCACGTCCACACTCCACGGGGAAGCGCCTGAGGTCACAGTTGCTTGAGAAAAATGTGCTGGGAGCTGTGAACAACGAGAGAGGCCACAGCTGGATTGACCCGGCTCCCAGCCCAGGCAGCTGGCTCTCAGGGGGGACCCCAAGTACCACCTTGGTACCAGGGGGGACCCGTCAGGTACACAGTCG